CCTCGCCGACCGCAGCTGCGAACAGCCTGCACGGGGCCAGCCAGAGGCAGTTCTCTGTGCGGTGCCGAATTTCTAGGGATTATTATGAGATTCATCTGCTTTTCCCCATCACCTTCCCTGTATTCACCAGGGAGGCTGGAGATACAGCCTGGGAGGTGTGACCCCCCGGGGATACAGGGGAGCTGCCCCTCCAATCCTGCTCACGCTGCTATGGCCAATTCGAACTCAAGCTGCTGCTAAAGCTCCCCTTTACCCCCACTTTAGGGGACTCTGGGGACAGTCTGCTCTGCTCTGTCACCTCCTGGAGAGCATGCCTGGGGCAGGCTCCCGATCCCCCGCCAGCATCCCGCTCCCCTCCGGCAAGATGCTCTGGGATGGAGCTGTGGCAGCCCACACGCCGGGAAACGCACGAACGCCAGCTCCTGCAGCACCAGGAATTTTTCACAACGCCCCCAGCCAAGGCTTTTTTTAAAGCGTCAGCTGGAGCGAGCTGCCTTACGTCTCTTGGTGTGGGAGGAGGGAGGCAGGAAGAGTTCGCTCGTGCCCCCCCCATGGAAAGGAGATCTCCACGGGGTCTTGCTCTGACCACAAAACCACCCCCAAACTCACCTCCCCAGAGAGTGGCCGGGTCCCTGGGACTCACCTCTCTTTTGCCACCTTCTGCAGCTGCAGGAAGTCTTTCTTCAGGCTCTGCAGCTTCTCCTGCTGCTGGGAGGTGCCGGGGGCAAAGCCGCAGGAGCCCAGCTCCGCAGCCAGGTGCTCCAGGGTGGCCAGGTCCTGCTGGTGCTGCCTCATCTCTGAATTCAGTTCCTGCCAAGAGCAAAGGGGGATGCCGACCGTGCCCTCGCCAGCAGACACGGGCAGATGGGATGAACCGGCCAGCCCCGCGTCCTGGCGAGACGGAGGGACCCTCTGTGGGCAGCACCATGAATTGCACCAGCACCGAACAGGCGGGCACGGCTCAGTCCCACCTGCTCCTCCAGTTCTGGCTCAGCAAATACTCTAAGCAGCTGCAGGAACAAGTCCCACCTTCCCCGGTGCCGGTGTAAAGCCACACAGTGAATGGGATGGGGGACCCTAGACCAAGCCAAATCAACCCCCCCACAGCACAAGTGTCCAGTTTTACACCAACTTAGAACATTTCTGAGGCTGTGGTCAAACCACCCCCCGTTGCAGAGCACTCTAGGAAGCCAGAGGGAGGAATCCCGCGCAGCCATGACCGGCCACCAGCACCCACAGCATCTCCGAGGGTTTTGTCACATCCTGCACTGCGCTTACTGCCAACGCTCAGGCGTTTTGCTGTATTAACCTCGTGGAGTCTTTAATTGGTAAAACCTTGCTATATTTGGACTGGTCCCTACGAGCCTGGCTAGAGATCCCTCCTGAAAACCAGCCTGGCTCCAGGGAAATGCCATTCCCCTCTCTCACTGCTGGAAACAGCCTCAGCCGCTCCGGCCATGCTCCCTTCCCCAGGCAAAGAGCCAGCACAGGTCCTGCGGATCCTGCCAGCCTGGAAGTGAACCAGGGGCTGTTTGCCCAGGAAGAAATCATTACAAAATGGCCCAGCCCTAAAAACCCAAGGCAGGTGGAGTCTTTTCCCCCTGCATCTCACCTGGATGTGCTGGGAGAAGTGAGCGATGTCCCGGTCTGGCTGGTTCCCGGATGCCAACATCCGCGCTCTGCTCTCCGTGAACTGCTGCAACTTCTCCGAGAGCTGCTCGTACTGCTCGACCTTCGGGAGGAGGCCCTTCAGCGCGTCCTCCCTCTCCCGCTGCCGCTGGCACAGCCTGCCAAAATGCTCCGTCGCCTCTGCCAGCTTGCCCTGCAGGGCAGAGGCCGTGGGGCTGTCTGCCGCCTCCATGAACCGTGTCACCATCTCACGGGTGGCTTCCAGGCAGCTCTTCTGCCTGGCGATGTCCTGCTTCAGCTTCTGTGGTAAGCACACACAGAAAGGGATGCCATTTTAGGAAGGCTCTTGAGCAAAACTGAACTGGCATGAAGAGGCTGGGCCGCCCTTGGGAAAGAATAGTCAGGCAAGAATAGTTTTCTATCCTGGTTTTCCTTTCCTTTCTGATCTCCCCAACCTGCTCTGCCTTTTCCCGGTGCCTGATATCAAAACCCTACTTGTCAGCAGAAGAAAGACTTTCAACAGGTCTGTGTGCTGGCTTAAAGAAATTAAGTAAAGGTTCTGCTCATATCCCTTTTTAGTCGGTTTTTTTTTGTGCTTTCAGAATACTGTAGCTAGCCCCCAGCAACTGCCTGCACGGTTCAGGTCCTGCAGACAGGCGTGTTTGAGGCGGGGGAGCTCAGGGACCAGCCTTACCGCACTCATGGCAAGCGAGTCCTGGATGGACGTGGAGGAGAGCACGGCCGGCTGCTCTCCCTCCAGGTTCTTCTCGATCTCAGCCACCGACTGGAGGAGGCTCTCCAGGCTCTCCTGGACGCTCTGGGACTGGGCGATGGATTTCTGCAGCAGGTCTGAGCGCTCGGCCATCTGCTGGGAGAGGCTCTGGAAGCGGCTCACGATGGCATCTGCAGGGTTCAGCGCAAAGGAGAATCAGTGTCAAAGAGCTTCTTGCCTGGTGCTCAGAGAGCAGCAAGTACCCCCTTTGGCTCCTGCCAAACTCTCACTGACAACGAATTCCCATCCCCAAACTCAGCAGCGAGACGGGAGACCCAATGCAAACGGCTGAACTGGATCTCAGCCCTCCCCACATGCAAACACAAGCCCTGAATATGTGTTGCTGTGCACCTTTGCCCCACCTTCCCCCAAAAGTGGGAGACTTCATCTTTCCTACCTCCCTGGTTGGTTTTCACGCTCTCCCCCACCATCCCTGCTAACGCAGGCGGCTGCTTTGCTCTGTACCTGTTGTTTCCTGAACGTGCCCATGGTCCGGGGCCGGCTCCCCTTGTACCTCCAGCAGGGACCGAGCCGCTTTCTGGAGCTTCTCCACCGGCACCTGATGCTCAGCGAGGTCTCCCTGCAGCTGCTGCTTTGACACAAGACAAGGCAAAATCAGCAGTAGATCACACGCAAGAGACCGCGGGGAGCTCAGGGCTCCATTTAAACCCTGCTGAGGGATCCTTGTTTAAGAAAAATAATAATGTAGGTTGGAAGGCCCAAGCCCATGCTGCAGCAGGGCTGACTTCAGAGCTGGATCAGAGGGTCTGGGCTGTCCCAGCACCCAGCCACCCTCAGGGGGGAGGAACGTCCCCCCCACATCCCGCTGGGATGTCCCCTGTGGCAGTCTGTGACTGCAGCCCCGTGTCCTTGCTCTGAGCACCTCTCAGAAGAGTCTGGCTGCACCTGATCTGCAGCGCAGGGACCTCCTGCAGGTACATCTTTGCACTCAACCAGCAAAAAAAGCGAATGGATCGAGTCTCTTCCCTGCTGCTGACTGCTCAGAGCAGCAGCCGAATTCCCAGGCTCCCCCCAGGAGATCACCCAAGGACCCCGTACCTTAGCGCTGGCGAGCTGCTTTTGCAGAACGGCCGGATCTGAAGAAACTGTCTCCAAGAGCAGTTTCCCAACAGCAGCTTCGCTCTCCTGCAGCCACGTCCTGAGAGACTCCGCCACCTCCTGGAACTGCTGGTAGTGATCCAGCAAGGTGTTCAGGTGGGAGCCCAGCTTGGTGCACTGCAAAGGAGCAACAAGACATAATGGGAGGATGCACACAAGCACAGAGCAACCTGGGCAGCCCTGGAATACACACAGAAGTCATCAAGAAAGAAAAAACAATTAAAAAAACCACTTTGCCGTATGTGTTAAAGGAATTACAGGAGGCAACATGCAGACCAACGCCAAGACAGGGGGTGTTACTCCTGCCCAAGCCCTGAAGAAGACAATCCTTGTCCTACAATCTAGTACGTGCTAGAAGTCCAGCCAGACACTCGAGAGAAACATGTCTCTGCCATCCCTGCTCGTTCGACACACACAGGAGGAAAACAGCACCCAGGGTTCAACTCCCAGCCTTGCAAAGCCCTTCCCGTACCTTGGAGTGTAGTGTGGTGTATCGCTGCGTCGCATCCTCCAGCTTGCTCTTGACCACACTCCCGGACGTCAGCGGCTGGGACCCTGCGTCCCCAGCAGCTCCCTCTGCATCCAGCACCTTCTGCCCCGACATGGTAACAAACCGCAGGTCGCCTTTGTGGGAGATGACGTCTTCTGAGAAGCTCCCCTGTCGCAGGAGCAGCTGCCGGAGGGCCGTGGGGTCACTGTCCCCCTTGTACATCCCCTCCAGATCCTGCTCTGCTTGCTTCAGCCAAGCTTCGAACTCCCCGTGATCCCGCAAGAACTTCTGCAGCTCGTCCCGCAGGACTTGCACTTGCTTCAACTGCGTTTCCGACTGCGAGAGGGAAGCCGTGTACTGGTCCTTCAGCTCTGCCAGTCGGCCCTGGAGCCGGTCCCGCTCCTCCCCAGCCAGGCTGTGGCCATGCTTGTCCAGGAAAGCCTGCGCCGACTGCGTGGCCAGGATGACGTCCTGCTGCTGGGACAGCAGCTCCTGGTGCTGGGCCTGAAAGAAGCCGGAGAGCCAAGGTGATGTTTGCGACCGAGGGTCTCTGCCCACCAGCACCCGGCGGGTGCAGCGAGGCCACGCGCGTGACTGAGCCTCCGCACCCTCCTACAGCACTAGCAAGGTGGGGGAACACCCCAAGGCGGGGATACAGGCAGGCGCTGTGCCCACAGGAGGGTAACCCCCCCTCTGACCACCTTCTCTCGTTACCCTGATTGCACCGTGCCGTGGCACCCACCCACCAACCCAGAGCGCGCGTCCTCCAGGAAGCCAGACAGGGAATTCCCAAGTCTCCCATATGGAAAATCACCCTGAACACGTGTCTCAGAGACCAGACCCATCTCCAGACCTATCTAACACCCTGTCCGGCTCCCAGCTGTGTCAGCAGCTGGAGGCAGGGCCAGCGCGTCGGGCAGAAAGCTTTAAGAGGGACGAGGTGTCGGTCCTGACCTTCAGCCTCTCGTATTGCTCATCCAGGCTCTCGGCAGCGCTGTCTGCTCCTGGGACGTGGCCGTCGGGGACATCCCGAGTGCCTGTCCCTGCTCGCGCCCCTGGCGCTTGCTCGATGGGGTGGGGTCTGTACTCCAGGAGCCCTCCCTTTTGCTCCAGCGATGCCACCCAGTTCAAAAGGGAATCGATCTTATTGCTGTTCTCCTCCAGTTCTTTGGCAGCTTTCACCTGAAAGCACAAAGGCTCCAGATAAGAATGACCCATTTTATGCATGTTCAGCAAACAGCTGCATGGGGGCGGGAGACAAAAATCAACAGAAGGAAAAACCCCAAAGAGTTTTCCAGCCGCAGCAAATGCCTGAGACACTCACAAACCTCCAAAATAGTTCCTGGCTCTCTGAAAGGGGGGAAGGTGCAAAGAAGCTGTGAATAAACTCAGCCTCTCTGCTACATTGCCTCTGTCACCCTGATACAACCCAGAGTCCCCCCTGTGAAGGTGCGAGCATCGCTTTCACCGCCAGCGCGTGGAGGTGCCCGATGCTCACCCTCCCGTTACGGGTCAGCCCAAAGGCAGAGCAAGGTGCCTGTTACTCCCCTGTTTCCTCCACCACCAGCTCATCTGTAGCTGCAGCTCTCAAGGTATTTCATGAGAGAAGTGCTTGGGGGGCACCTCGCCTGGGGGACCGACAGAAAGGAACAGCAAATTGCTTTATGCTACATCACCCAGCTGAATACCAGGACCCCAGATGAATCCAACTGCACCGACTGGACCTCACCGTCCACCTCAAGCAGAGCCTGGGGGCTACAGCTCCTTGCACGTTACCTTTTCAGTCTCCTGCTGCACTGCAGCAGTCACAGCGCTCTCCAGCTCCTTCTGGGCCACCTCCGTCCTCTCCTGCAGGGACCGGTACTGCTCCTTGGCACGCTGAAGCTTCTCTTGCAGTGCTGCGAGCTCCCCGGGCTCCATCTTTGCCTTGTTCTCCTCCAAAAACTCCTCTGTGCTTTTCAGGACGCTGGCGAAGGAAGCGGCTCGGGTGTGCATGTTCCTCTGCAGCTCCTAGGCAGACAATGCCGTAAGGCTCCGTGCACTCCCGGGGCAGCACCCAGCCTCTCTGCCTTCCAACCCCCCGTTTTTAAAGCACTGACCTTAACATCACTTTGCCTCTGCTGCAAGGCGGACAGGTCCCCTTCGCTGGCTGCTCTCTGCTGCTCTGCCAGCACGTCCTCTGCCTGGTGCAGCCAGCAGCTCAGCTCGGCCAGGCTCTGCGCCCGGGCTGCCTGCTGCTCCTGCAGCGTCTGCGGGCAGAGGGAAGGGGAGAGGGGACAGTTAGTACCTGCGCTGCACCTCCGGTCACGCACATCGCTGAAAGGCAAGGCAAGAGGTTACAGCTGGAGCATCTCCTGAAGATGAGGATGCAGCCCAGAAAACGGCTTTTGCAGCTCTCCACGTGCTCCCTCTCCCTCTCAGGCTCACACGCTGCAGGAACGGGGCTGCGGTGCCGCGTCCCTGCTGAGCAGGAGCTGCTCGCTGCACGTTTGCCACCGTTCCAGCAGGTTTCTCTCAACCTGCTCTTTGAGAAGCCCATTCAGCTCCACGTGGAGCTACGCTCCAGGTCACGCACTCCTCTCTCGGGAGAGCTCAACCAGAAGTTTCTGTGCCTTTTCCATTCAACGCTACAAACATTAAAACTGCAGCAGAAACTCATCTAACGAGAGGTAACAACAACCTAAGGTCAGGCAGCACCACTGTGGAGCCCCAAACAACCTAAGTAGGCTGTTTTTTTGATCCTGGGGTTGGAGAGGGAGCCCAGGAGAGAGAAAGCATTTCTGTAGCTGATCCAGCTCCTCCGTTTTGCTGCTAGAGCACAATACAGAAGCGCCTGTTTGAGCAATTGAGCATGATGTGACCTGAGAGTCCCTGCAACGTTCCTGTTCCCCTTTCCCAGGGGAGATAAAGGTTTTTCAGTTTCACAGGGCATTTCAGCAAGGTGATGTACAAACTTGTGCAAAACACTGTGCTTGTTTCTCCCAGTGATAAGATAAACAACAGAAGCAAATTGCAAGAGCCTTCTTAAGAGCTCTTCAGCTGCAAAGCGAGTTCTTCCTGCGTTAGGATGGGCGCACACTCAATCTGAAAAAGCAAAGCAAACTGGTTAATATACACACACACTCTAGAGAGGACAGGCAAGAGTTACAGAGAGCAACTGTTAATAAAAACTACATTAATCCTGTCTTGTATAAGAGGATCCATGCAGTGACGGGTGCTGCAGCAATGCAGCAGAGACCTGAGGACTTGCTTTTGCAGCTGCCTGCTGCCTTGATACATCATCAGCTGTTTCTCTGGGACAGCAATACCTGACTTGTGCAGTGGAAATAAGACATTAAAACCCCCAGGTCTGTGGTGGCCCCTCTGCACAGGGATTTTCTGGTGGGGTTACAGAGACCAGGGTTTATTCCACCCACACCAAAGCAACTCGATGTTTAGGAGAGGACTGCCCGGCTGCACCACCCAGACCTCGGCAGGGCTCCATCTTTTGGGAGGAAAGCGACTTTCCGCTGGGAGTTACATGGTAGGAAGAAGAAAGACTTTAGAGGAAGCTCATGATGTGCAATGAAAAGTCATAAACTGTGAGTGGCATGCACATGAAATTCCAAATACGAGGTGTCTCAGCGCACGTTCTTGTGGCCGGGAAGCGCTTCAGCGAGCAAACTGCAGCCAGGAAGCAGATGTCTCACAACCTTCACCTGATCCGTCTGCTCCACTTGCTGGAGACAGACCTGCAGGACCTCCACCCGAGCCGTCACGCGCTCCGACAGGTCCCGGAAAGCCTTCTGCAGCTCATTGAGCAGCCTCAGCAGCTGCCTGCTCTGCTGAGGGGTCAAGTCCTGGGCATGCTCTGAGATAAGGAACTGGATGTCGAAGGCAGTGGCGTCGAGCTGAGACTTGGTGTCAGCGAGGGGCTCTTTCAGCTCCTGAATGGGAGAGAAAAGACCTCTCAGGCAAAATGACTCTGCAGCCAGCGCTTTCCTGCACTGCCAGCTTCAGATGGGACACGCAGAGAGGCAGCAGTATGCACCCCAAAAAAGTGCTTTGTCACCAGAACGATATATTCCAGAAACCCCAAACGCTCCCAAAAGCACACTCAGCATCGAGGTTACAGCATCTCACCGCAGCAATTTTCTAACGTGCCTCTGCACCAGGCCTCCAGCACCTCGCCAAGAGGTTGCTCGGCCCACGCGTGTAGGGCTGCCCTTGGGCCTGAAGATGACCCAGACCTGGAGCTGCCAGCAGCCCCGTCCAGTCCTCGGTGACTCCATGTGTCACCACCGGCTCTCAAAGCCTTCGACCCCCTGACTTCAACGCCAAGGTGCTACCAGCAAACAGGAGATGCTGAACTGACCAAATCTTGACAGCTATCGCTAAAAGACGACTAAATGCGGAGGGGAGCCTGGGCGCCTCGTACAGTCGATGGAGACCGGGGCAGGTGTGATGGAGGGGGGCTCTCAGAGCCCCCATGGAGGAAGCAGCTCTCTCCCCAACAGCCTAATGGGAATCCCTCCCAGTCGCTCAGCCTCCACCACACACCTGCATTTCAGCATGTTCCCCAAACAGCCAAAGCAGGTGGTTTGTGTATTGCAGAAACAAATGACTTTGGAGCAAATACAATATTGTTGCTCCTCCTGCAATAAAGGAAAAGGGCAAACCCTTGGTAGGCTCCAGGAGGGAAGCAGGATTAAAAGCTTCTCCTCTGTGCAGAGGACAGCAACTTCATCAGCCAGAAGGATTAGGGGCATTGCCATGGTTACCTTGTAGTGCTGGAGGCAGCGACTCAAGCTGTTCGCATCAGTCGCGGGGTGGTAATCGCTGCCATCCAGCGACTCTGCAGTGCCAGAGACCCAGCTCAGCAGCTCCTGGAGTTTGCCCTGGAGAGTCTCGTGATGTGCCAGGATTTTAGCCTTAAAAACAGAAATGCATCATTTAAAGAAGGAGCAGAGCTCTCCAGGGAAGGAGCGTTGGGATGCTCGGGGGGCAGCAGGCAGTGGGGACAGTTGCCAGCTCTACCTTTTCGCTTTCTGCTGCCCCGCGAAGGTTTTGTAGCTGGGACTCCAGGACATTACTCGCAGAGCTCAGAGACTTCTGGAGGTTCTTGGCATCCTTCTCCAAAGCCTTCAGTAATTGCTCAGGGACTTCTTCAGGGGGGTTGGCCACAATCCACTTCACAGCGTCCAACTCCTGATTCACTGGGAAGCTCAGCTCCTGCAGCTCAGCGCCCAGGGCCTGAGGCAAGACAGCATCGTTATGTCTAAGATACGGTGACTTCATCTTCCCACTGCCAAAACTGAGGAAAGGTTTTGGAGACCCAGCTCCAAACACTGCGTCTATCTCCTAAAAAGATTCATTACCGTCCTCCAGCCCCGCTCAGCTGCCAACACTCGCCTGTCTTTCTCCAGGCTGTAAAATCCATTTCAGCCATGCTTAGGTTATTATCTAAGCAGGGAGGAGAAGGTGAGCCAGAGGCAGTGCCAGAGCGGGGAGGGACAGGGTTTGCATATAAATGCCTGTTAAACTGGAGACTAACCTCCCCGGCTGGCTCCCAGAAGCAGGGAGGAGGTGCAAGGGCTGTGCGTGAAGCTGGGGAGAGGAGGGACGAGCCCTGTCCTGCCTAACACTGGCCAAGCCTGGCCCAGCCTCGCTCACCTCCGCCTGCTGCAGCAGGTCGTGCAGGGCTGCCAAGTTCTGCTCCGCCGGCTGCACCCGTTTGATTCTCATCTCGATATCTCGGAGCATGGAGAGATATGATATCAGCTTCTCATCGTGCTCCAGACACATCTTCTTGCTGAACATGATCTACAGAATCAAACAGTAAAACAAAACCTCAAATTTAGACAGAAAAGAAAACAAAGGATTATATATTGTTCTTTTTTTCAAAGAAGAAATGTTAATAACATTCCATTTCAGGGACTTTCCACTCGCTAGACTTATCTACAAGATTTACTACAGGAAAAATAAAACACATGGCTCTTTTTCCAACATAAGCTTATAAATGGCAAGAGATCTCTGGTGTTACAGTAAAAGTGCCAAAAAAAAAAAAAAGTCCTACTTATTAGTCATTTATAAGTAATGCTCCAGCAAAAAGAAGCCACAACTAAGCCTTGAGTGTTTTCAGTCATACATCACTGGCTCCCTTTGCCAAATCCATTGCAGCTGATACTGCAACATCAAGCTCAAACATTCACTCCTCATGTTCTGGCTGTCCTCTGTGCTGAGGACCTCGGACAGATTTAACATCAAACATACACAAATAGCTCATTAAAAAAAAAGGTCAAAATAGCAAAAAGCATCAATTTACCTGGGCTGGTCTCGTGGATTCCCTTGAGGTTTCCAGCAGCTCCCCCTCCACTATCACAGGTAAGAGCAAGCCCCGCTCGCCAGGAGCCGGCTGCCTGGTCCTCTCCTGGGGTGTTTCTCCTTGGGATTTGGGGGGAACAGGGGCACCTCCTTGGCCTGTGCTGATCTCCACTCTTTGCTCTTGCCGTGTCTCTTCTCCAAGCTCAAGGACTGCAGAGGTTTCCTGAACTTCTCTGGATTCCTCTCTGATAATTAATTCATCGGGCAGTTCGCCTGCTGCAGGGGCTGCACTGGTGGTTTCCACCTTGGTGTTTTCCTGGGTCACCCTCTCCTCCAGGCTCAATGCCACCAAGGAATCGTGACCATTTCTGATCCCATCTTTCATCACCTCTCGGGCTTCCCCTTGTCCTGGGAGGACAGGGAACACCGGACCCCCAGCGAGGTTTTCTTTATCTTTCTCAGAAGTAGTTTTCTTTTCTTTTTCATCCCTGCTGCTCCCCGTGTGCTTGGCTGTGCCTCTTGCCAACCCAGCAGTAATCTTGGTGGTGGTTTCATGTTTGGGTTCTGGCATGCTTGAGATGAAGTCCTCCTCCTTCTTCCCCCGAATTTCTTTGGAAATCAGAAAAGGAAGGGACTGCTTTTCCGCAGAAGATTTCTCCAGCTGAGCGCTGTCTCTTGAGATACCAGTCTGCTTTGCTTTCTTTTTCTTGCTTTTCTGTTTTTGGGTAGGTTTTAGCTCAGTTTCACTTGTTTTGTCTTGATCAACTGGACCTTCTGCACCCAATCTCAGGGTTTCTCCTTCAACGTGCTTGACAGTTTTTTTACCTGCAAGCTTGTCTCT